TTCATCATAGAGAATTTGTACCTATACGTGATATATCTTCAGTGCTTTTTTCCATTCTGATCCCCTGCCCTCACCCTGTTCCTTCATTTCTTTACAAAAGCTTTCTTCTATTTTGTTATTTTCTCTCTCTTTATTCTCCTTTTCTTCTTTTCCCCTCCCACTTCCTAGCTCCCCTTCCCATTTGAACATTTTCTTCCTATTCCATAATATCTATAATACATTTTGGTCCTTATTTAAATTTTGATTTCTCACACCAGAGAAACAATGCGGTATTTACATCTGTGTGTCCTATTTATTTTACTTAAGAGGATGGTCTCAAGGTGAATCCATGTAGCTAAAAATGTCTAAAATTTAGAGAACTCCATTGTTTAAAAAGTCCTCATTTTTTTATTCACTCATCAGTTGATGTGCATTTGGGCTGTTTCCAAGATTTAGCCATTACAAACTGCAGCTATAATAATGGGTGTGCATACGTCGCTGTGTTGTGATACTTTTAATTCTTTTGGAAGGTACCAAGGAGGGGAAGATCTGGGTCAAATGGGACCTCTAGTCCTAGTTTTTTGAGGCATCTTCACGGTGAAGTCCACAGTGGCTGCACCAGTCTACACTCCCAACAACAGAGAGCATTTTTTCCCCCACAGCCGCCCCTACATTTGTTATTGATTGATTTCTTGATAATAGCCATTCTGTCTGGAGTGCAATAGAATCTCAGTGTTGTTTTAATTCGCAGCTCACAAATGACCAATGATGGTGACATTTTTTCATATATTTATTCGGTGTTTCTACTACATCTGAGAGGTGTGTGTTTATATCAGATGCTTATATTTGGAGTGGGTCTTCAAATTTGGGGGTATCTGATGTTTTGAGTTCTTTATATATTATAAATATTAGTCCTTCATCTAAGGAATAGCTGGCAAAACTTTTTTCCCACTCTCTGCATTGTCTTTTCTTTCTGTTGTGATTGCTTTTGCTGTGCAAATCCTTTTTAATAAGAAGATATACCAGTTGTTGATTCTTTGTAATAATTCCCATGCAATTGGAATTTTGTTCATAAAGTTTTTGTTTACAGCTATGTATTCAAGAGTTCTACTTAGTCTATCTTCCAGCAGATTTAGTGTTTGTGTTTTAATATTTAGAACTTTAGTACATTTTCATTTTAGTTTAGTATATGTTGAGAGACATGGACCTCGTTTTAGTCTGTGGCATGTAGAAAGCCAGTTTTTCTACCACCATTTAGTAGAGAAGTTATCATTATTCCACTGAAGGTGTCTGGCCCCTTTGTCAAAGATAAGGTCAACCACATACCTTGAGATGTAGTCCCAGGACTTTACAGTTGGAAATCATGTCTCACCTATATGGATTCTACTGTGCCACCAGAAGAATTTCAAATTCCCCATTTTGAAACCTTTCAGTCCTTTTGTTTGTTTATTCAATTTATGTAGGTTTCTAATTGCTGGAAATTTCCCTTCATGTATCCAAATATTTTACTTGATAAGAAGTTTCCATTGATATGCAGTTCCATGCTTTAATAATCTTATTCCACTTTTTCTGTTTTTGAGATATCTACTTTGAAGTGGTAAATGGGCACCTGAGAATCATTTTTCATTATCATTAATAAGGTATATTGACTGTCTCTCATACTTGATACAGTATATTGTAGACTATTCCTTTTTTAATATTCATAACCACAAAATGCAATGTGAATGTAATCAGTAAAAATATCAGAGGGGCACTCTAAACAAAGGATTTCATCCCTATATTTTAAAAGAATCAAGGTCATGAAAGTCACACAAAGTCACACAAACAGAACTGTCACAGATTAGAGGAGATAAAGGAGACAATACAGTTGTAATATAAGATCCTGGATCTGATCCCAAAGCTTAAAAACACAATAGTGAGAAAGCAGCACAATCTAAACATTGAATCAATTTTAATTTTCGGTTTTGATCATTACACTGTGGTTATATAAGATAATACCAAAAGAAAGGTGGAAGAAAATACATTAAAACATGTAAAGTTACTTCAAATAGACAAATAATATAATCAGAAAAGAGCATGAACTTTTAATGAATAATTCTACAATTATTTATTGAGTTTTCTTTCATTCTTTCTTTAAAATTCACATCTCTAATAACTCTTTTAAAAAAGTAGTAGTGCTTGTGATAAGGTCAGAAATATCTGTGGGAATGCGTAGGACTATGTTGTCCACCCTAGGTCATTAGCAAGGACTATATTGTCTCCATAATGAGGGTGACAGCGAAGTGTAGCTACTGTTCCCAAAAAGGAAGGACTTAAGATTGTGTGGAGAGGGGCTGGGGATTTAGCTCAGTGGCAAAAGCGCCTGCCTGGCAAGCGCAAGGTCATGAGTTCGGTTCCCGGTACCGGAGAAAAAAACCAAAAAACAAAAAAAGATTCTGTGGAGAGGAGCAAAAGCCTTCAGTGTTTCCAGCCAAATGTTGTGAACTGTATAGGACACGAACAGGAAAAGCCCACAGGGTTACAGTATAAGTGACAGCCCTGGTTATGACAAGAGAAGGGCCAGCCAGAAAGGTAAGAGTGGATTTCTAGAAATGGCCCAGTAAAGAATTACTGTGATCATTTCTGTGGGTTTATTCCATGTGTGAGAGACAGGAACCCAAACAGGCCCATGAGCAAAGGGGCAGGAGGTAACAAAGTGCACTTTTCACACACTCTTCAACCCACACACAGGACATCTGGTGGGAGCATCGTGAGCTCACAGTGTCTGAGCCACAGTGCCCGGTCCCTGGTGCCTGCCATGGCATGTGGACAGAGGGGCAGCTCCCAGAGATCCAAATTAGACAATTAAACAAAAGTAGAGACACTAGTAATCAATTACCTAAAGGAAAATAGACTTTAAGGCAGTTAATTTAAAGCTGTCAATTTTTAAAAATTCTACACCACGATCAAGGATTTTAAAAAGAAATTATGAAGAAAGTGCTGCAACTAAGACAGACTCCACAGAGAAGTGAAAGTTATGAATAAAGACCAAAGGGGAATTCCAGAACTAAACAGTAAAATAAGGTCATTTGAAATCCAGTGGATAGGTATATACTGGTTAAGTATGGAAGAACAATCAGTAGAATTAAAGGGAAATCTATAGAAATTACAGAATCTGAAGAAAATGATTACAGAGAAATGAATAGGGCCTCAGAGATAAATAGTTCCATGTGAAGATTATTAACAACTGTTTGTAAGACTGAGAGCTGGAAAAATTTTGAAAGAAAATTGGCAAAAACTTGAAATGTACTGAAGTTCAATAATTAATATATCTGATAAACTTAATGAAACATCTTCAGATTAGGCATCAAAGATTCATAACTTTTTTTATTTTAAACAGACAAAAACAACAGAACAACAACAAGGAAGACAGAAACAAAACAACACAAAAACAAAAAAATATACACGATTTCAAAACAAAATGACAGGAATTAACAATGGTTGTTACACTACATATTATTACCTTCAACAAAGTTGCTCAGACCCCAAAAACTACACAAAAAGAGTCCTAGAATTAATAATCAAATTCAGTAGCACAGCCAGATACAAATTCAATGCTCAAAAATCAATAACATTCATGTTTACAAAGAATAAATACCCTGAGAGTGAAATTAGGGAAACCATACCTTTCACAAGAGCATTCAAAAAGTTAAAGTACTTAGGGATCAATATAACAAAAGAAGTAAAAGATCTATACCAGTGAAAATTACAGTACTCTGAAAAAAGAGATCAAAGAGGATTTCAAAAAATGGAAAGATATTACTAGCTCATGAATAGGAAGAATCAACATTATTATACAGATTCATGCAATCTTGATCAAAATACCATTCATATACTTCACAAGTCTAGAGAAAACATTCCTAAAATTCGTGGAATGAGAAGAGACCCAGAATAGTAAAAACAATTCTGGGCAACAAAGGCAAGGTGGGAGATATCACAATCCCTGACTTGAAATTATACCACAAAGCTACTGTGATAAAATCAGCCTGGTATTGGCAAAAAACAGACTTGAAGATCAATGGAAAAGATTAGAAGATGCAGGCACACTTACAAATCCACTCAGCCACCTTATCTTTGACAAAGGGGCCAAACATCTTTACTGGATGGTTTATAACTATTAAGGAGAAAATTACTAAGGAGAGACACAGAGAAATAATAAAAAGACATTGAGTTTTCATTATGACAAGTGGAGCTAAAAGACAGTGGAATGATACATACATTTCAGTGCCAACAGAAAACAAGTCAGACAAGAATTCTATATTAAGGAACACTTTACCTGCAAAATACAGGTAAATTAAAAACATTTTTCATATAAACACAAAGAGAAATTATTACATATAAGAATACCTCATAAATAATCCAAGAAGAAATCCTTCACATTCACAACAGATAAAAACAGTTAACTGAATTCACAGAAGAAAAAAATGAAGGCCTCAAAAATAGGATAGAAACAAGAAAGAGACACAAGCAAAAAAAAAGATACTGCAACTTAAAGGATGTTCACATCTAGTAAAAAAACAAACTTTTGTGGCAGACTTCAGCGAGACCTTGTAGGTTATGGGAGGTGTTATATATTGGGAAGGGGTATGGAAGCACACGGCGAATTTCACATTTAATCATATAGTTTCATCTGAATCATGACTAAACAAAAAATTTTATGTGTTGCACAATAAATGTCTCTGCTCTGTACATCATGTGTATTATCTTTTAGCAATTTAAAATACCACATCTAACTAATATCTACAAAAGAAATAAGATGCATCAAATATATATAGAAACTCATTCTTCTTAATGAAAAAAATACCTGAATCTCTGAGCTTTGCCTGAAACACAGAAGTTCTATGTCACTTTGCTCACAGGAGGGGCCCTTCTGTTGTTCCTTTCCACTTTGACACTAGTTTGCTTCACACAGCTGCACCAGGAGGGATTCACATGACGTCCCCTGGGGAGGACCCGCCCTGCAAGACTGAGATAAAAGCTCATCTGCATTCTGGCCTTGACTCACCAGGGCTCCTCAGTTCAGTTCAGCATGAAGCTCCCTGCTCAGCTCCTGGGGCTGCTGATGCTCTGGATCCCTGGTAAGGACAGAGGGAGCTGAGGAGGGGAGTGGGGTGAGAGGTGAGCTCTGGGGCCCCTGCTGCCCAGGTGTGTTCTGTGCATGAGTAAGATGGGCTGCTTCCCTCCAGAATGGTGCATGTGCTGTTCCCATCTGTGAGGGTGAGAAAGGGCAGTGTAAGGACTAGGACCTGTATGTTGATGAAGACTCTGATATACAGAAGATTGGTGGGGATGAACTGTCCACTTCTTTTTAAAAACTAAATATTTCTGGTGTATACATCAAAATCATAAAATTTATAAAGCCTGAAAAAAAGACTACTGTGAGAATAATTAAAAGTTTTTGTACACGACCTTCAACTTCTCTCTTCTTATTTCAGGGTCTAGAGGGGATGTTGTGCTGACCCAGACTCCACTGTCCCAGTCCATCGCCCCTGAACAGCCGGCCTCCATCTCCTGCAGGTCCAGTCAGAGCCTCCTGCATAGTAATGGACACACCTACTTGCATTGGTACCTGCAGAAGCCAGGCCAGTCTCCACAGCTCCTGATTTATAGAGTTTCCAACCGGGCCTCTGGTGTCTCAGACAGGTTCAGTGGCAGTGGGTCAGGGACAGATTTCACCCTGAAAATCAGCAGGGTGCAGGCTGAGGATGCTGGAGTTTATTACTGCATGCAAAGTACACATGTTCCTCCCACAGTGATACAACCCCGTACACAAACCCCTCACCCAGGAGGCCCAGCTGACCTTGTGTGTTGCTTGTCACGGAGCAGCACAGCAGTCTCGAGTCTGGGTAACAGGAAGATGCTGGAGTTCTCAGGGTAACAGGTGTTCTTGAGAGCTCTGGACCATGAGTGACTTGGTTAAACCTCAAACATCATCTGCTCATTGACCTTTCAGCTGAAAGTGACTTTGAATGCCACAGGCAGAAGGTGGATAGAGGAAGTCATCTAGCTAATGATGGCATGAGGAAGTGGATGTTTTTATTATAGAACTGAATAAAAATGCACCCCAAGCCTGTATACAGTCTTTAATTTGTCATTTAAATGTAGTCATCATAAATGCCCAACAAACACATTTGTATCGGATTTGTTCAGTGTACCTTCAGGCTTATCAGAGTTATGTTTCGGTACAGGGGATATTTTGGGGGTATAGGTCTTTGCAAGAGCAACATGCCCACCCAATTTCTTTACATTTTTTAATTTCAAACTAGGTCACTACTAATCACTCAGTTGGTCAAGCTGAACTCAAATTGTGATCCTCCAATCCCAGCTTTAGAGTACTCAGATTTCTTTCTTTCTTTATTCATTTATTTTTAGTTTTTATTTTTGCTGCATTCTAAAGCCTACTTTAATACTGGTGCCTGGTAATTAGTTCCTAAGTTTCCCAGGCTTGCCTTGAATTGGCAGTCCTCCCTCAGCTGCCCGTAGATCTAGAATTATAAGTGGGAAGCACGAAGCCCAGCTAGATATATTTTAATAGTGTATTATTTGGTAATATTTGGAAACGTATTTCCATGATACCAACTTCTTGTTCTCTTTATTACCCATGGTCTCACCCCTAAATGAAGTAGAGGTCATACTGTGTACTGCTTATCCACAGGGGCATCTGTCTGAATTTCCTGTCGACAGAACTGAGGTCAGGTAACTCTTTCCCTGTTGAGCCCAATGCAGGCAAGAAAAGCTTCTGAAGCTCTTTCTGCCCCCAGAAGTCACCCAGCAGAGGCCACATGGTTGGGGACTGTGGAGATGTAACAATTAATGACATGCTGAGTAGAAAATCCCTCCGGGTCAGCACCAGCAGAAGAGCAGTGGGACGGAGAACGACGGCCAGGTATATACAGAAAGCATCTCACATGCAGTCCTGAGGGAAAAACATTCAGTCTGTGGAAATTTCTGTCCTTCTAACCAGAAGATCCGGTCTGTCTGCTCAGTCAGGTCGCAGGAAATGCTCTTTGGTAAAACAGATCCTGTGCTGTAAGTTGTGTCAGGCAACCTGCAGAGCTCAACTAGATTCTCTTCTGGTTGATTTTCTCATCTCTGCCAAGTCAAAGCTACTGTCTGCGAGCAAATTTGGGAAATATAAAAGCAGAAAGAAAACACTAGGTAGACATAAACTCAAATAGAATGAGTTTCTTATTCATTGTGGAATTTTACATCACCTAATTCTTACTTCTACCATTGTTTTCAGATATTATTAATAAACATGTGCACATTTTACTCTTTTAAACTTTTTATTTTAAGACATTTGTAGATTCACGTGATATTTTCAGAAGTGATAGATAGAGATCACATAAACCTTTCACCCAATTTCCCCATTGGTAATGTTGTTCATAATTCGAACATATTAACACAACCAGGAAAATGATACTGATACAGCCCACTCTCTTGCTGTTTTGTTCAAATTCCACTGTTTGTAGTATGTGTGCATACAGTTCTTTCTTCTGTGTGTGTGTATGTGTGTGTGTGGTTATGTGGTTCTATACAATGGCAAGATTCTACCTTGTGTTACCTGCCCCAATCCCTGGGAAGAATTGTCTCTTAATTAACAAAAATTATAAATGTTTATTATGTACAGCCAGATGTTTAAAATATGTATGCATTATTGAATGGTTCAGTTTAGCTGAATAATACATACATCACCTCACATACTCATTTTTTGTGATGAGAACAAATAATGCCAACTGTCTTAGTGAGTATCAAAACACAATATATTAACAGTTATACCACATTCTAAAATAGATCTTTTGAAACACTTCTCTTACTGAAATTCTGTATCTTTTCTAAGTATTTTTATTGACTCATTTTAATTTTATAAATGCATTGTTTCCATGTGTTTTCTTTCCTTCTTTCTTTTTTTTTTTTTTTTTTTTTTTCTTTTTGAGACAGGATCTCACTGTGCAGTTCAGGTCAGCCAGGAGCTCACTTTGTAGCCCAGGCTGGTCCCAAACTCACAACGATCTTCCTGCCTCAGCCTCCTGAGTGCTGGGATTACAGGCGTTTGCCACCATGCCCGGCTCAATGTGTTATTTTCATATATGCCTAGGACATACTTTGATCACATCGCTCACCCCATTACCCTCCCTGAATCCTTTGCCTTCCCATTTATTCACTTCTGATCTAATAATAGTATGTCTACAACTTTCAGGTTCTTTTAGATTCCACAAATAAAGGAAATTGGCACATACTCCCACTCACTGACACTGCTCATCGAACACACAGCAAGGGGATAATTTGAATAATTTATAAAGAAATGTTCAGAGATATGACATGTAGGGCAACTACAAGTAGTGAGAAATCAGCTTCCAAAGGTTAACATAAAGGTAGCAGGGACCCAAGAATGAGTTTCTGTGCTGTATTATATACGTTTTCTTGTCCTGACCAAATTTCTCCTCTGGTACTCTATCACGGGGCCCAAAGTTTGATGATGGAATTACAATTTAACTCTTCTTATTTTGGGGATAGAGGTCATCAAATTGCCCAGGCTAGGCTTGAACTTGCTGTTCTCCTGCTTCAGTCTCCCAAAAAACTAGGTTTACAGTTATACAACCATACTCAGCTATTCTTCTATGTCTTTTCACCCACCTTGGTAACACTATGAGATGCTCCAATCAAAATATCATCACACATATTTGTGCTATTTTGTGTCCTGGTTTAAAGTTTTATTCTGTACTTATTTGTCTTTAGTTTTATTTGTCTTTTAGCTTTAAGTTTTTAGTATTATGGAGATATGTAATAAATTAATGGCATACTGTTTTTTTTTTTTCTTCAAATGTTTACTTTGGGGCAATTGTTTTCAAACTGTTCCTCTTGTGCTTATCATTTTCCTATACTGCACTGAGAATACTTTGCCTCCAGGCCAAATTCTGTATCTTGGACCTTAGAATTAAGACCTAGGAGATGTACTTTTAGTGGAATAACCAGGAGTATTACTGACAAGTAAATGTTCCCTTAATTTTCCATAAAATCAACAGGCAATCTCTTATTTATTTATTTTTTACATAAATGTATTCACTGTAAGCAGGATTCTTTGAAGAGATTAATTAAAATGATTATGAGCAGTTTACAATTTCACCTAGGACATCTAAGACACCAGAGTATGACAATGTTAAACTGATGATAAGACTATCTTCATCATTTTCAAAAATGTGTTTTAATTAAAATGTCTATCTCAGGGCCTGGGGATTTAGCTCAGCGGCACAGAGCCTGCCTGGCAAGCACAAGGTCGTGAGTTCAATGCCCAGTACTGGGAAAAAAAATAAAACACCAAATAAAATAAAATAAAATAAAAATCTATCTCTGATGAATTGGCCCTTCAGCAAATGGTGCTGGGAAAATTGGATATTCACATGAAAGAAATTGAGACCCAATCCCTACAAGTAAGTGGTACAGGTAATGATTTACTGAATAGGATTTCAAAATCTTAGGAAACAACCTAAAAAGAGACAATGGAGTTACATGAAACTGCAAAGATTTTACACAGCAAAGGAAGCAACCAACACAGTGAAGCAACAATCTCAAATAGGAGGCAGTACTGCCAGCTCTTCATCTGAAACAGAGTGAGTGCATAGGATGTATTAAACAACAATAAAAAACAAGTAATCAGTTTAGAGTATGGTCAAAGATCAGAAGAGATACTTACTAGAAGGGAAATACAGGCAGTAAATACATATAACCATTCTCTATGTGGATATTTAGGCTTTCAAATGAAAGGCCAAGAGGGATGGGAGCCAAGGAGGCAGGTAACAGAAGGAGGGGAATCAACTCTTCTCCCCTACAAGCCAGGTGCATCTGCACGCACGGAAGCTGTCAGCTACCTGAATGTGATCTCCGTACCTGTCTGTGGGGCCCAGGTAAGGGTTGAAATGCTTTCAGCTGCCTGGAGCCCCCACCGGTGATTCTCATCCTCACCTTTGTGCCTACTTCTCTCTGCAGGGGCTTTTGGACGGTACAAAATCGTCCAGTTTTTATTACCAAGCCGCAGAGAGAGCTCCCATTATGAAACCCGACAGAAACTCCAAGAGGAAAAAACTTCCGGAAAGGCTGCTTACAGAATGATAGGGACAATGTGAAACTGACACCTGCTGTTCTAGGGTGGTCACTGTTCCACAATGCTCAACACATTTATCAGCTATGCATTGGAGCTGGAAAATCCTTCTAAATCTTATGAGCAAGACTGGACTGACCGTGGAGATTTTGTCCTATGTTAAAGAGAAAAATAAGCAAGAATTATATTCAATAAACACAGTAATCATTTGATAAACATATATACATATATAAATACACACACTCCTGTGTGTATGTTATTCAAGAGGACATGTAACATTCTTTTGTTAAAATAAAAAGGGTTGCTGCTAATCGTTTTTCAAAAGCCAGCATCATCATCACCACCACGGAGAGTGTGGTCCTCATGGAAATACCAGATACACAATAGCCCACCCTGGTGAGAATCTGCACTTTAACAAGGTGTCAGGTGACCTATGAATACTTTAAAAAGCTATCTTTCGAGATACGTTCATTTAAACTAGGAAGATTTTCTGTTTTGCTTTTATCCGTAGGGTCACTTCCGAAAATTGATTTAAGGTTAGACATTAAAAATACACTCAACTTTATCTTCTAATTAACACAAAATTAAATTTGATTTTTAAATGCTATTGGCTGGAAACCATAGTTAATTGTTCCTGATATTTTGAACTAGCTTGAAAATGAAACAAATTAAGGCTAAGCCTACTTTTATACTTTTGCTTTGTTCAACCCCTCCTGATTTGCTCCTATAGCTCAGCCCACTGCCCTGAGTCTATTTAGTACCAGGTCATAACCTGTGAAGGCGTCCTTCTTACCAAGAAAAAGCTTTGTCTTTGTGTTGGAGATGTCAGAACTTCCATTTGCTTATGTACTTTGACCCTTGGTTGTTCATCACACAGTCACTGCTTCTTTGGTATTAGTTTCAGATCCAACAAAACTCACAGGCTAATGAGAAGCTGAACCATCCATCTGATCCCTCCCTGGGTCAGCCGAATCATTGTTTGTTTGCTTTTGAGCCAGGGTCTCGGTTTGTAGATCAGGCTGGCCTCAAACTCACTAGGTAACCCTGTAGCCCCTAGCGAGGCAGACTCCATTTCCTGCAGGTTGAGTCAAAGTGTCCTACAGTGATGAAAACAATTATTTGTGTTGGTACCTGCAGAAGCCAGACTGCTTTCCAAGATTTTTAATTCATGGAGTTTTCAACTGAGCTTCTGGAGTCTCAGAGGGTTCAACAGTAGAGGACCACAGACAGATTTTACCCTAAAACTCAGAAGGGTAGAGGCTGAGGGTGTGGGGGTTTATTACTGCAATCAACCTACTCTCAGTGCATACAACCAAAAAGCAGAGCTCATTGTGATAGAGTCTGAAACATAAACTTCCCTGCTGGAGGTGGCCCAGCTGCCACATGTGTGGTTGCGTGAGAGGCAGGTGCGGGGAGCTCAGGGGAACTGTGTGCTGCTCTCTGCACAGTGTGTACCTCAGTGACAACACAGGCGCCTCACATTTAGGTCTGCTTTTCTGCAACAGCCCTGTGTGAGGCAGTGAGGTGGTCCACATGCCCTGTGATCAACCAGCTGTGTTGACAGTGATAGTTATCTGACAGCTCATACTCAGTACCCTTTTTGGAAGACATTTGTCAAGGTCATTTAGTCAGCATAGCAGCCAGAGAATTGTTGTAGAAGAGTGACAATATAATTTAAATATATTTTGAATATAGCCAATTTACATTGTGTTTTTATAGCATGTTATGCTTTGTGTCTAGCTGTCCCCAAGTCCATGGCCATACCACTCCGAACACACTTGATCTTGGAAACTAGATGTTTATGCCACACTTTATAAGGTTTTAGGTGGAGCTTTCTGGAGGTGGCTGGATCTGGAGTGTGTAATGCTGGGATCAAGAGTGTGGGATTACTTAATCTGTCCACTGATTGGTTTGGCATAGTTCTGGGTAGGATTAAGGCTGTCCCACCCTGGGTATGAGTGCTATCTTCCACAAGGGAGAGTAGCCTGCCTAATTACAAGGGACAGTAAGAGGGTCTCTGGTAGCTTGTTGCTTATGGATTATTACTTTGCTTATGGATTATTACTTCATTGCTGGCTATCATCCGGCTTCTCTGCTTTTCCATGAACTGTTTCTCCTCTATGAGGTCCCTCCATGTCACCCTGACTTGCAGCCAAGTTATGGACTAAAATTATGGACTGAAACCTCTTCAAACTGTGAGGTAAATAGGTCTTTCCTCTCTTAACTTTGAGTGTTGGGTATTTTGTCTCAGCAACAAGAAAATAACCAAGACATAGCACAGAACTTTGTAATGTTGGATAGCTCTATCTTTCCACTTGTTTAATTACCTACTCCTTAGAGTAAACTCTCCTGTCCATTATCACGTTAGAAAAAGCACTCGACACAAGCTATCTCTGTGAAAAGTATGGTTCAATATAACTACTATCCAGTGTTTGAATTTTGAGTGTTCACCTATACTTGGGTAAATTCAGAGCAGATAAAAGATTCTAATTCCATCAGAATTGGCTTTACTTCCATTAGACTTGCTGAGCATAATGAAGTTTTAACTCTTCCAGCAATGTGCTTTAACACTAGAAAGCATAAATTGACAAAGACAAAAATGAAGTCTTTGTCCACATACCTCAGAATGATTTGAAGTATTTCTTTCACTTCCGAATTAAGAATTTATGGCCAGGGATATAGCTCAGTGGCACAAGCGCCTGCTTGGAAGGCTCAAGCTCTCGAGTTCTCTTCCCGGTACAAAGTAAGAACTTAAATTTTTAATATTTATGCTAAATTTGGTAAGTACCCCTGATACTATATTTCAATAAACAAAGATTTTAATACTAAAAATGATATAGTATTTTCACACTATATCTCATTATCTAAAAAGAAATTTCAACTTTATAATTTTACTCTAGTCATATAATAAAATTGAAAATAGTGCTCCTGAGTTATATGTGACTTGATTAGTCAGCTTAGCTTACTTTCTAGAGCAACACAATACCCAAAATACACACACACACACACACACACACACACACACACACCTCGTGGAGGAGATGACTAATCTGGCTCATTGTTCTAGAACTTCAATCCATGGTTGGCTGGCTCCAATGTAGAAATTTGGCAGCAGGGCATGATGAAGCAAATCAGCTTAGTCCTTGGTGTTCAGAAAGCACAAAAAGGAAACAGTGTCCTATAGGGGAATGTGCTAGGGACAACAAGGGTGTTGAAGAACCTATCCACTTGTACCTGTAGATGTGGTCCATCAAATCCCCATGACACATCCAAAACACAAATTAGCAGAATCTATTATCATGGTCTTATCCAACCTCTTGTCAGCTTCATACTAAGATGCATCTCTTTAAATCTCCTTAAGTCTTCTTTTAAAATCTCTTCCTTAGATTTTTCTTTGGTCTCAGGACTCTACTTTTTAATTCCTTGTAACTTGATGGAAACTGCCATTTTGTTCCTCTTCTACCTCATTACATTCCCGGAGAGTGGTGCTGATAACTCACTTGACCAAGGTTATCAGCAAATCTTAGCATGGAGAAGACCTCTCTCAACATTAATCACACGTACCAAACAGCATAAACCTAAAAAGAAAAATCAGTGACTTTTGTGAGAATGCGCTGCATCAAGTAGGTCACCTGTTCTATGAAAACTATCGAAGATGTGTTGAGCACTAAGAGAGCAAAACAACACTGTACTCAAGGAAAAGCTGACAGATTTTGTCCTCTGTTCACAAGAGAGAAAACCCACTGCAAACAAGTCTACAGCAGTGTGGTCTCATCTGGGACACCGGGGGCCCCGTGCCTGTGCAGAGTCACTGAGATGAGCCAGTCTTGCAGCTGTGCCCACCCCGCCCACCCTGCTGATTTGCATGTCCCAGAGCACAGCCCAGGCCCTGAGGACTTCTTCATAGGCTGTCACACCCTGTGCAGGACCCAGTCCCAGTCAGGACACAGCATGGACATGAGGGTCCCCGCTCAGCTCCTGGGGCTCCTGCTGCTCTGGCTGCCAGGTAAGGATGGGCAGCCCTGGGCATTTTCTCAGCACTGCATGGTCAGAGCCACCTGAATATTTTGAGAAGTTCTTTTATAACATAAATATTTATGTAAATATTTGATTTTCTGTTTCCACTGTCAGGTGGAAGATGTGACATCCAGTTGACCCAGTCTCCATCTGTGTCTGCATCATTAGGAGAGAAAATCACCATCACTTGTCAAGCCAGCCAGGGTATTAGCGATGATTTACACTGGCATCAGCAGAAACCAGGGCAAGCTCCTAAATTCCTAATTGCTTATGCAACCACTTTGCAGTCTGGGGTCCCTTCAAGGTTCAGTGGCAGTGGATCTGGGACAGATTTCACTCTCACCATCAGCAGCCTGCAGCCTGAAGATGTTGCAACTTACTACTGTCTACAAGATTACAGTTCCCCTCCCACAGTGATACAAGTCATGACATAAACCTCCCAGGGAAGCAGAAGTGTGAGGTTGGGCTGCCCAGTTTCTCCCCTTGGTGCCCACCCCTGATAAGAGTGTTTCTCAGATGCAGCCAGGATTTGAAGGGCATTTGAAGAGTTTAGATACGGGATCAGGCAGAGTCCTTACCCTTTACCTCTGTTTCCTCTTCCCCAGCTCAAGCAACGCACAACTGACAATACCTCCCATAATTTCATAACAGACACAAATCATTACACTTTAGGCGATGGATTAGAGGAAGTCTTGAGATGCATGCAGAAAAGACAAGCAATGTAAGCTCTTACAAGCAGAAATAAAAAATAACATACATAAAATGCGTCTTTAAATTCCTTTCTGTGACCAGAAGTATGGTATTGAAAGAGGCTTATAAAGAAACCAAACACAAAACCCAGAAAGAGCAGGGCATTGTATTTGCCGGTAATCACGGCACTAGGGCGGCTGAGGCAAGGTGACTGTCATTAATCCAAAGCTAGGCTTGGGCTATGTAGTGACTGTAAGGCCAGTCTGAGCTACATAGTGAGACAAAGCAAAACAAACAAAAAACCACAGCAGCATCAACAGCAAAATTAGATTCTAGAAATGAGTGATTCTCATTTGTCCAAAGCTCAAGAAAACTTTCAACGTAAATTCCAAGCAGGGATTATTTTAGTAACGGTTACTAGAATATAGGCAGCAACTTGTGGAATGCCACATGTTGTAGTTTCAATTAATAATGCATATGCTAAAAATACAAGATTCTCTGATACTCCCTCAGAACCCAGATAAAATCTACCATTCATGTTATGGTGCCTCCACCCATGTGGTCCTCAGATGTGACTTGAAAACCCAGGTGTGGGAGTGCTGATGTTCTTTGCAGCTTATACCACAATCACACGGGGGATTCTCCACCCACCTCTCTCCCTGAAGGTATGTACAGATCACACTGAATCATCCTCCTCTAGTGCTGAGTCCCAGGGACCCTTCTTTGAGCACTGACACTGAAAATGAGTTGAAAAAGCAGTGCTGGGAAACCTACTTCCAGAAGTGATGATGATTATAGAAAGACAGCATATCTGCTGACTTCTTTGTGTGCCAGTATGTTCCCCAGCTCAGAATTTGTCAGGTAATAGCTTCACAGTATTTTAAGTATGCTCCTTAGTGAAAGCAGAAAGTTGAGGTCACACCATGAAAGTATCATGAAGTCATACTGTTAATAGAAAATCAAGAAGCTTCATGAAATGCACAAGAATTACTTGACAAAATCACAACTTTCTTAGCAAAACCAATATAAAAACTAAATGTGGACATAGCACTCTATTCTATTCGCACAAAATTTGTCTGGAATGCAAAATCATAATCAGCATCAGTGAGATTTTACAAAAGCAAAGTTTCAGAATCACATTAGACCTCCTGAATGATAATCTGCATTTTAGCATGTTAGCGTGTGACCTACAGAAGGATTAAGAAGCTATGATTAGACGTTTATTTCAGTTAATGAGAATCTTTTTTGAGTCAATGTATCTGTTCAATTGTATTTCTATTTAAAACCTCATGTTAAAAATGATGCTTCTGTTCTTTTCCTTTTATTGTTACTATAGCAAAAAAAAATTTTTTTTGGTACCAAGAATCGAACTCACCACTTGTGTTTTCCAGGCAAGCACTGTGCCACTGAGCTATATCCCCAGCTCCTACTATAACAAAATTTTTGAAACGGAGTATACTATAAAGAAAATGATTTGTTTCATTCAGTTTTGGAGATGCCAAGTTCAAGATTGCGCAGGCCCATCTGCTTGTCCTCCAGTAAAGACACAGCCATCACTGTCAGACATGGCGTGTGAGCAGAAAGGAAACCAACTGCATGCTGGGGTGGCCAAGCATATAATGCAGCTTCACTTTGTCACACCACCTTCTTATTAAGAGCAGCTCACTCTGTAAGACCCGTACTGATCCATTCCGGAGGCAGCACCTGCAGTGACCTCCCATCTCACACTAGGTCCCAGCACTTGAAGGCTCTGTACCTCTTCAGTGGCTGCAGCGAGAACCCGACCTCTGGGACAGAAGTCCTGTTGGATAAGCCACATCCAAACCTTGGCCCTTCCTATCTTCACTTTTAATTGATTAAAAAATGAAATTTGGAATATTTTACAATTACTATCCTTACCTAAGGACAGTATATGCAAGTATTTGTCTGTAGAATGTTCCAGTATTTGCCCATGTGGGTAAATTTGGACATTTTATTTTCTCCTGTAATTGATCATGAGAATGTTGGACTCCAGGAATTCATTGCTCCTTAGCATTTGTCCCAGATTAAATAAAATCTGGAGATGAGATGAGGAACCTGCATTACACATGTGGCAATGAGCTCTGCCAGTGCAGCCAAACCGTGACCATGAAGATGCAGGACGTGAAGTACATGTTGCGTGTTCTCACTCACTGATTTCTTAGTGGCTGTGTATCAGTCACTTTTCTTCAAACACTGACCAACACAAAATTTCCACATCTACCTTTTACATAAGTATTTATTTGAAAATTATAACCTTAATATAAATATTTAGTAATCAGTAAATGAAGATCCTGCAAAGTTAATAATAAATAGTAGTTGAGTGAGACAGTAAAATTTGTATCATTGTGTCTACATGTCGACAACATAAGCATAGCTGCACCTATTATTCCTGAAATATTATTAGCTACACATACACACATATGCATGCATTCATATCTGTGTTGAATTTCTAGCTTAATTCATTTGCTTCTGTTTCTTGATTGTTTCTGGTTATAAAGACACAGTTTTGCTTTGACATTCATCCATCATTTGAATTCCACTGATCTCATACCACTGTGTTAGTCAAGGGTGTCCTGGGAGAATGGAAATCACACTGTGTAAACTCCAAGTGTCACAGCTCATGCTACCTTGGTACAGAGAAATTCGCAATTCAATGACTTTGAATACTGACTGTGACAGATGGTCAGACCTTTGCAGAAACATATCTAAAAGATTGCAGATAAGAAAATATTGGAAATGCTGTGACTGGACCCTTCAAATTGGGCCAAACTTGTAAATTCTGAGTTTCCTAGTAAGTTTCTTATCTAAATCTCCTTGATCTGCAGACGGATCTCAATTGTTAACATTACCCTATACTTACACTTCAGTTAGTCACTCTTCCAAGCCTGACCAATGAGGTGCATGCATATGCAATATAATAAGATTCCTAAGGGGCTGGGGATTTAGCTCAGCGACACAGTGCCTGCCTGGCAAGCACAAGGTCATGAGTTAGATTCCCAGTTCCGAGAAAAAAAAAAAAGATTTCCAAAGTAACCAAAGGCTCACATGGTTACTGATACTTTTTTCAAATGATAATTATTGTAAATACATATGCATTTTGTAAATTCATGGGAGTCAATATATTTCCATGCACGTATATAACATGAGTACTTCATGTCTATTAATTGATTTTATGTCCTTTCCCTTTTTTTATCTTTCTCTCTCTCTCTCTTTCTCCCCCTCTTTATTTTTCCCTTCACTAATCATCCCTCCACTCTGTATGGTGAACTTTTTCTATTTTAGCTTCCCCATATGTTATAGCTTATTTTAAAGAGAATAAAGAATAATTTAAAAAACATTAGGGGGCTGGGGACTTAGCTCAGCGGCAAAGCGCCTGCCTGGCAAGC